TAATACACAGGAGTAAATAATCGATTACAAATGATAACGATATGTAAAATATTTTTATAGAAATCTTATATAAGAATTTATAGAAATATTTAGTACAATATATTATAATTAAAAATAAAAATAGAATATGAACAAAATAAGAAGAAGGATAAACCAAAAAAAAAAAGAAATATGTTACAAAGGAATATAATAATCGAATATTCTCGTGTTTTAATTTGAATTACAAATAATAAATCAATTATATGAGATACCTCTCAATTGATCGTTTAATTTTTGATATATATATATATAAAACTATAATATATAAATAATTTATATAAAAAAGAATAATTATAAATAATATTTATATAAAAGAAATGAGAAAGAGATAAGACAATGTTGAAAAAAATAAAGTTAAATAATATTCATCCTGTTACAACGTGGCCCTTTTCGAATGAAAAAAAAAAAAAGGGCAGGTGTGTGTGGGCAGGATTCCGTAGATATGAAATAAGGGTTGGACAAAGATGAGAGGAAGGAAGAGAAAGAGAAAGAAGAGTACCCTCGTTGTCTGCCGATTCAGCACCTTCACATTGTGGCAAGTGTTCGCGTCATTCTTTCAAGTGAACACTACGCCTCATTACATCATATTCTCGTGATCGTATGCGCATTTTTGTCTCTAGATATTAGGGTGATTATCCATTTGATCGCAATTTGTGCAAACCGACACCACCACCACCACCATTAAATTCCTCAACGAACGGTGTTGGTTTTTACATCACATTTCTATCGATAAATCGATATTCCTCTTTCCTGATCAACCACCCCACCCCACCTCACCCCACCTCACCCTATTCCACCCACCGACCAAGATGTTTCAAATATTTTTCCCGCGTATTTCATTTCGTCGAAAGAATTTCAATGCATTTCCTTGACGAGTTCGAGTTTCTATGTCTCCATTCGCAAACAGGTTTCGTTTCATTTCGAAACTAACCAATACAGACAAATACACAAACATATCACTATTTCTCTGTGTACCCACGCGTATATGTGTGTGTGTGTTTATGTATGTATGTATTTACGTAATACATGGGGTTGTATCATAGGGTATAAGTATAATAATTATTTGCTTTTAGAAATCGTACGACTGTTCGTTTGAACTCGGCCCTTTTTATATTTTTTGTTTGTTTGTTTGTTTCTTTCTTTTTCTTTTATTTTCCAATAGCAGACCTTAATTTCGGATTCTCGTTAGCCTATTCTCCCTTTCCTCTTTTTCTACGTTTTATCTTTGTATATTTTTATGTGTATCTTTATATATGTGTGTGTATGTGTGTGTGTGTATGTTTCAATATCGTACAGATGAAAGTTTGCACGAACGAACAAACCTTGATAGTACGCTAATGAAGCATTGTAATGTACGATTCCTTTTAAATATATGCCCTGTTTCGATTGGAATCTATTTGCCCTGCAAACGTTTATGTAATCAAAACACTTTGGATCCTAGAAATTAGCCGTATATATTCCATCTGGTATAATATTCTAACAATCTTTTCAAATGTTAATAATATACTATAATTGAAATTATTAAATAATATCTTATTAAGTAAATACCACACACTTTGATTTAATATAATATAATATAATATAAATTAAAACAATAATATATTATTTTGTGTGTGTGTGTCTGTGTGTGTATCGATTAAAATTGCGATAGGGGTAGGGGGATGAAAAATAACGAATAATAACGATCAAAATAAAATCTTATATTATTTTATTTTAATTTTTGTTGTCGTTGTTGTTGTTGTTGTTGTTGTTGTTACTGTTGTTGTTGTTGTTTTTATTGTTAAAATAAAATAAAATATTAACGAAATAATACGAAGGAAACGAAATGTACGAAAGAAGGAAAAAAAAAGAAAAAAAAAAAGAAAAGAAAATGAAAAGAAGAACATTTGAAATAAATTTACCGCGCTTTTTTTTTTCTTTTTTTATTACTCACATCGATAATTCCGCAACGTTCAATTTCATGATTGAGATTCGTCACTTTGGGGTTTGTTTTCCTTTCTTTTTAATTTGGTTTTCTTTTTTTGGTTCTCCTCTCTTATTGTTTTTTCTTTTCTATTTGTTTTTTTTTTGTTTTCGTTTTACCTTGGCAACGATGAAACTTCGTTGAAACTTTGAGAAAAAGAAAAATAGAAAAAGAGAAAGAGAAAGAGAGAGAAAGAAAGAAAGATAGATCGAGAGTTTATTTATTTTCTCTTTTTAATTGTACGAAGAGAGAGATAGAACGAGAGAGAGAGAGAGAGAGAGGAAAAGAAAAGAAAAAAAAAGAAAATAAAGATCGAAAAGATAAATATAATCACTGGTTGATTTTGATGATCGTCTCGAGACACCGACGAACAACAGACCATTGCCGAGAGTCGCGTGGGCTTGCAACCCCTGTTAAAGCCCTTAAGTACGATTCGTAGGACGTTACGCGCAAGCTCCAAAAACACGCCGGCGATTCCCGCGTTTAGAAATGACCCCAATCTCTTTTTACACACAATATATATATATTAATTATTTTTCTTAACTTTATTACTTTGTACATCTTTGTGAATATTTTTTTTTGTCAATTTTGTTCACTCAGAAAATTCGAACGATATTTATTAAATTTTATCAAGTAACAATGCGTAGAGATTCAATTTATTGATAAACAAATATAAAATAATTTTTAAATCAATTGTATTATTAGAACGTGAAAGAAAGAAATAAATTAATTTTCAATAATTTATGGCAATGATTTTTATATATTGAAATAGCGTGAAATTCTATCAAGAGAAATTTTATCAAGTAACAATGCGTAGAGATTCAATTTATTGATAAACAAATATAAAATAATTTTTAAATCAATTGTATTATTAGAACGTGAAAGAAATGAATTAATTTTCAATAATTTATGGCAATGATTTTTATATATTGAAATAGCGTGAAATTCTATCAAATAATAACGCGTAGGGTTTCAATTTATTGATATACTAATAAAATAATTTTTATATCAATTATATTATTAGAACGTGAAGAAGAAATCAACAAAGAGAATGAAGTAATTTTAAATAATTTACGGCAATGATTTATACATAGAAAAAGGGTGAGCTTGATACGACGAGGGTTGAAAACTTCTGAACTTAATACGAAAAGGGTTGGAAAGAACTTGTAAAAGTATTAACCAATTACTGAGTGATTTTAATCATTTAAAAAGAAAAACATTTACTTTAAATTTCATCGCGTATATATTTTAACCATAATTTTTTCTTTTTTTATTCGAATATATTTATGTGATCAATTATATAAATTTCTTTCTTAATATTCTTTTTTATTTTATATATTTAATTATTA